CCTGCTGTTTAGGATCAAGCCCTCCTAATAGTTTCCTAACACATAAACTACATAATATAAAATCAGCAAGAAACCAAAACTGTAAAACCTCAGAAAAACAGAATTAATAATTAAAAAGAACCTCAGGTAAACTAATCACATACCACATTCAGCTGAAAAAAAAAGTACAATCAGATGGTTGTAACCTGCAGATGGTATGTAACACCTCAATAAAATCCTAATTTAAGAGAAGACAACTATAAAAGAAAAGTTTTTTAAACGTGCTTAAAGACTTCAGTTACCAAGCTTTACATCTTTCCGTTTCAGAAGTTGAGGCTTCTAAACTGGACCTGAAAATGAACCAGCAACCTGTGCTGCTAATAAAATATAACTATCAAGTTTTCTGAATGCTTACTGAGAACCTATACTTGAACAGTCACTTTTTGTAATAATTTGCAAGCCATTTTTAAAAACAGCCCTCCACGCCTCCCAATAAGGTACTATTTAGCACATTAGGCAAGCCCTAGATGTCATTATCCATGGTTACTTGAGGAAAGACCCATCTTTTCTACACAATTTTTTACTTGGCATATGAATGCAAGCATTCCTGGATAATACAGTTAGTACCTGAGGTTCCTCGGTTATCACTGAGTCTAGCAAAAGGTGCTTCTTATTATTAGTTTGCAGTCATTCTTAGCATCAGCTTTAAGTTAATCATATAAAAACAATTCTGTTGGATGAGACCAAATGCCTACCTGGTTAAGCCTTTTGTTTCTGCACGGTCCAACTGCATGCCTTAGGGAAACTGAGAAATTGGACATAAATTGTGTTCAGGAAATGATATACAGAGACCTGCCACCCTTGTTGCTGGAAGTCATATATAGCCATCCTAACTGTTAGCCCTTGATAGCCTCATCGTCATGGAATTTGTTGAATCTCCATTTTAAAGTGTTGTGTTTGGTGACCATCACAACATTTGTGGTAGCAAATTTCATAGTTCAGCCATTTGTTGTGTAAAGAAGTACTTCCACTTATCTGGTCTGAGTTGCCTGCTATTTGGCTTCATTGGACAACCGCTGCTGGGTTTGCTGTTATGAGAGAGACCCAATGCCCTCTTTCTGTACACATCACATAAAGTACAACTTCATAGTTTTCAATATCAACTCAAGCTGCAGGGGCTGAAATGTTGTTCCTCAAAAAAGGTATTTCAAAAGTCAAAAGCAGCCACTTTGTTATAAAGTTGAGCATGCAGGATATAGACTAGCCAGCAAGAGCTTTGCAAAATGAAACATTGTATACATTCATAGATGGTGGAGGGAGATATTTAGAGAGAAAAGTCACAGAAACAGACTGAAAAGACAAGTTTTCTTTAAAAGAGAAAAACAAAATAACACAGGTTTGCTTTAAAGAAAGTAATGGAATGACAGTACTCAAGAAAGGGGGATATGTTGCCATATATCTTTAGTAAACATTCTCTCAGGATTTCTGAGACCGAACAGTTTCCTCACATAAGTTTTCAAAGGGGAATCAGCTCCACATTTGAGGCAATATGAACTTTTAACCCTGTCAATCAGGCTGCAGTTAGCTATTTCTTAGCTACCTTTTTAACTCCTTCCTGTATAAGGAGTTAATCATTCTTGCAGAGGATTCTGTGTCTGGTTGTAAAAATGGAGACACAGAACCAATATTAATTTTTTAAAAATACAGATTTTGAAAATATTTTTAAAAGGTATTTTAAAAGGAGTACAACACAAATGTTGAGAAGCTTGCTCATTTAAGCTGTGAAATTATTGGGAGTTTTGGGGGATGTTTGTTTTCTCTTTGTGTCTAGGGTGGTCCTAGTTGATGTTAGCAGAGCTTTGGTGCCTATATCTTGTCCTAGTCTATCATATCTCCATCTTGTCACAGTACAGTGGTGCCTCGCAAGATGAATTTAATTTGTTCCGCAGTTAATGTTGCCTTGTGAAAAATTCATCTTGCGAAATGCATTTTCCCATAGGAATGCATTGATATCTAATTAATGCATTCCTATGGGCAAAAAAAGTCATAACAAAGTCAAATTTGGTTTACAAAGGGTTTATTAAGTGCTCTTTAAAGCTATACATATTGTGCAGATGATTTTTAAAATTTCAATTAAAAAACTTCAACTTTTTAAACATCATAGAAAAACATTTAAAACTCAGCAAACATGAAGCAGGAACAAAAAACGGAAAACATTTGTCTTGTGAAGCATGGCCATAGGAGTATTTGTCTTGCGAGTCATCAACCCCATTGCCAAAACCATTTGTCTTGCGAGGCATCAGTGTACAATCAATGTTATGTGCCATCAAGTCACTTCTGAGCAGAAGAGGGCATCCAGCAGACCATTTTGATTGCTAACATGAGCGTCATCAATATGTAAAGTTTGGCATTCTTTGCTATGTAAAGTTTGGCATTCTTTTTCCTGCTTGCAATGTGGGCATGATATTTTTAGCAATGTTGGGCCATTTCCTGCCATTTTGAATTATGGATACAGAGGAACACATCCACAAATAGAGATGGGGGTATTTATATATGAATATGAATACCACTGCACAGGTGGAGATAACGAGGGTCTGGCCCCATGGGGCCAGAAGGTCCACTCACCAATGCACTAGTGCTGCGGGGTACACACTGCCGTCCTATCATTCTAGAGATTGCGATCGCCAAGCCACTCTTTTACCTGGCAGAGAGGTTTTGTTGTCCTGCCTCCTGCCAGGAGTGGCTCAGTGATAGCAATCTCCAGAGTGATAGGACGGCAGCACAGACCCCACAACATTAGGGCATCAGTGAATGGAACGTCTGGACCCTTGTTATTTCCACCTCTCCCCATCTCTATTCATAAACCATAGGTTTTCTTTGAAGAACTGAATTACTTTAATCCCCACTTCATCCATAAGGATGCAAAATAAAAATTAGGGAACATCCTCCCTTTTAATCACCCAAATATGAGTGCAATAATGGCTAAAAATAGAAGTATTTACCCAGTATCCTACATGCATACTGGGCAAAGGCATCATTTCTGGTAAAAAGAAATCATAATATCCCAAATACAACCCCTCCCCCCCCCAGGTTACAGGTTTAAACCTGCAAGATCAGGAAGACACACTGCATAGAAAGATTTTCTGCAAATGGAAGCCATTGTGTAAGGAACAATGGACAACATGTGAATGCTAAGGGACAATTCACAAGCAACTCAGACACACCTCTTGAAGATCGAATCGTCTGAACATGGGCTGCAGTGAGAAACAAAACCTTCAGCCTACTCAGACTGACTCAGAGATTTCCCGAGCATACCAAACCCAGACCCAAGGCTGGAGCACACATGGCTTCCTCCTCCTTGTCCTCCCCACCCCTTACCCCAGCTGAACTGCTCATAAGGTAGAGGGGAAGGTCTCTTCCTGCAGACTCTGCTTCCCAGTCTGGTATCTTCAACCGAGGTAGGGTGGGCTGGAGAGCCAGTGAAGACTACAGTAGGGATAAATTTTCAGCCTTCAGTGCTTAGACCTTTCTTCCAACTTATTTCTACATCATTTAAGTTTAAATCAATTTTACATAAAAACATAAGAAGAGCCCTGCTGGTTCAGGCCAAGGGCCCATCTAGTTCAGCTCCCTATATCTCACAGTGGCCCCACCAGATGCCTTTGGGAGCACACGAGACAACTAGATACCTGTCTCCTGATACCCCTCCCCTGCGTCTGGCATTTTGAGGTACCTTCCTTTTAAGCCTGGAGATTTTCCATCCTCATCATGGCTTGTAACCTGTGATGGACTTTTAAATTTTAAACCAAATTACTCTCCCAGTAGCCAAAAAATTAACTGAGTTGTCTAACTTAGTTTGTTTCTATTACTGATGATTTCTCAGTTGCAAAAGGATAATGTATAACATTGAACCAGAACGCTTTTGCAAATATGCTGGAAAGAAATGATCATGTAAACAAATTTGGTTAGTATACTACAGGGAAACCCATGAAGGGTCCAAAATACTAATCATTCATTAAAGAGTAGCCATACCGATGCTCCAAAAAGTTTTGATAATTGAAATACCAGTTAGATTAGATTAGTCCTCTTTCAATCTTGAGAGACTATGGTAACATGCTCTGAGTAGAGAATTTGGAACAGCCTCGAGTGTGGCTGAGAGGGCCAATTCAAGAATGACAATCCCTTCCACACTGAAGACAAATACAATCTGTCCCCTGTCCAGCTCCCTGATTTTGCTGGTTTCAAGACTGCTTCTTTGTCTCAGCCTGCTGGACAAGTGTCTCTTCAAAATGCGAGAGGCCATGATGCACCGCCTGCCTTCAGGCTGAATGCTCAGATGTCAAGGTTTCCCATCTGTTGAGGTCCATTCCTAAGACCTTCAGATCCCGCTTGCAGATATCCTTGTATCGCAGCTATGGTGTCCCTCTGGGGCGGTTTCCCTGCGCTAATTCTCCATACAGGAGATCTTTTGGAATCCAACCGTCAGTCATTCTCATGCCAGTACTGCTTCAGGATTAATGGTTTTGGATTTTAATCTGTTTATCATCTTTGAACCATTTCCTCATAAAATGAATGTAAAACTGTTGTTGTTTCAAACAGATATTTAAAGATATTTTAATATTATATATTACCAAAATTACCTACCTACTAGTGTATAGTAGGTGCCTTTGGTCTCAGGAGAACTTACTTTTAGGTAGACATCCTTAGGACTGCAGCATAAAGCCATCTTCTTGACTAGTTTCATTGGAACTTCTTTCTTTTGGGTTTTGAAAGTAACATTGAAAAAGAGTTGGCTCTGATTTTGAAAATGCCAGTATTCCATAGAGCAATATATGAAACAACCAAGGCAAAGTTCTGATAATCAAATCTGAAGTGGCATTTTAATAAGCCTTTGCTATGCTGTAACAATGGTTCTTTTGGGAGGGAATAGAAGAAATATGTAATATCTAAAGAATAATTAAAATTTTGCTTTCTCTCCTCCCTTTCTCCTCTCTCCCCCTTATTGAAATCTCCTGCCATAGAAATTGCATTTGCCTCCAGACTTGTCAGACACAGTGAGCCGCACAAGCAAACAGGATCTGGCAGAATCCACGAAATTGCTGAGCTCAGGATGCAGTGCAATGGCCATAGGCAAGAAGCACCTGGACTTCTAGTGATTTCTACTTAACAGCTTCACTCCAATTCACATGACACTGTAATTATGAATGTTAATGACTTATGTAAATATTTTTCTTAATCACAGCAACCCAGTAGTCCTTTGAAAGAAAGTATTCAAATTGTGTGCCTTATTTTTTGGCTATTTTATGTTTGTTGTAAATGAATTTATCTAGAGTAAATAAACACATCCTATATTTTGAGGCAGTTCTGAAGGCTTGAAGTACTGTAGATTGCAATTTTGAAAAGTTAGAGGATTTTCTGTTGCCATCAACTGCCCTGTGGCAAGTAAATCAAAGAATAAAATGCTTTGTGTATACAAAAATTTTGCATATTGCAAATCAGTATTGTGAAGATTAAAAATCATGTATCTGTCTCATGGGTTATTTTGATGTCAAATAATGATTGCATTAGAAAATAAAAATGTGACAAATTATTGTATACATTAAATGAGCAAATAAATTTGAGTGTTAAGTATCTTATATACTAATATCCTGTTATGTCAGAAATTTTTTATTAGAAATTATTATACATAATATGTTTGCAAGTAAATATATTAAGCTGCTTGAGTGAAATTTACTAAACACAAGGATTTTTTAATAATTCAAAACGATAATCCTAAAACACTGAAGTCAGCACTATGAAATTATGTTAACAGACATAATTCAAGAGACATAATTTCAGGACTGAAATACAAACTGACAGCTACATTAATGCTAGAAAACCAGGGGAGTGCATTGGAGCTTGGGCAAGACAGATCATAGAAAAAAAAGCAATAGTACAGCAAATAAATAGATTCAATTCAGTACATACTATTGTGTTATACTATTTGTCAATGTAGAAATATTTTCTATCTAGCAAAAATATATAAATACTTATTGGGGGCAGGATTTGCATACTTGGTTAGAACAAATAAATAAGCTTCTGGAATGTAGATGGCTATCAGTAGACAGTTTTCAAGTGAGACCTGGAAATTACTTACTTCCTTTTTTTAAAAATAAAGTCCTGACTTTAATGCAGTGACAGTCCTATTTTGAATTATCCTCCATAGAACTTTCTATTACTGTAACTTCATTTTCATTAAAAGTTTAGATTATTTTTTTTGAAGAACAGTTTTATATAGCAAATTGAAATACACTCCCCCACCAGCCTGAATCATAAACATTGACTGTAGTAATGTTAATGTATTTTGATGGGATTGAAACTAAAGTGTTGGTTAAACGATTTACTTTTTTTAACACTGTGAGTAAAACGGAGAAATAGCTTTTAAAACTGTCTGATATGATGAATGTCAATCATTTAAAAAAACCCACTGTACCATAAACACATACTGTATACAGCTTTTATTCTGAATTAGAATAATTGAATCAATGACAGTGATTTGCCAGGATGTCAAATCTATCCATCATATCCTGTCACTACCAGTTTATTTTTTCTGATCAAAATCAAAAAGACTACTGTTTTGTCATCCTCTTTTTCATTAGAGGTAACAATTGAGGTTTTTTCTTTCTTTTCTTTTTAAAGATATGTCTGGTTTTTTTTAATTTCTAAAGACACAAATCCATTTTAAAGTCTATTCAAAATAAAGTTTCAGAACCGAGCTGTCAGTTTAATAAAGCTAACAGACATCTACATTCTTATACCCACATATTGCTATGTCTTTCAAATCATTTCTCCTTTTGCTTTCTATATATATTATGAACAGAAATTTTCAACAGAATTTGAATGGGGATTTATAAAGATATTTAGTAGATCAAGTATAACAAGATTTAACACTTTAATTACTCCATTTTGTTTTCAGTGTAATTAAGAAATTGGATCTGCACTTATTTTGTCTAACCTTTTGAGCGTAGTTATATTGGTTTGGTTTATATTTTAACAATGATAATGATGATCATGTTTTCTTAAAAACAATTCAGCTCACAGCCTTTCTAATATTGCTGAAAGCTATGTATAGTTTACGTATAACTTTAAAACAACTAGCAATTCAAATGGTTAAATAGAGCCGCCATAGAAACCCTAAAGAACATATTTTCAAAAAGACAGAGAAGAGGAGGGGAGTTCCTTTGGTAAAATCTATATTAAACCTTTTTCTGTCTTAGTCAAGATGCTATATGAAATCAATGCTTTAGCATACCAATACTCAGTGTTATTTAACTAAGGCCAAAAAAGTAGCAAACCATTTCTTCTCTTTCAGAAAATTATATAGCTCAAAGTAATCTGGTTTGTCAAGAAAAAATTGAGAATAAAATGGTTATATCTTTTTTGATGAATGTAATAAGCAGGCTACAAATATCTTGGCTGAAATCCTGTTGCATAGTGTAGTAAGTCAGAACAAGGGTAGGTCCATTGAATTAATGGGGATTTGATCAGTAAACCCCTTTGTAACTTCCACTGATTCAGTGGACCTGCTCTAGTTGTGCTTTCCTGTGGTAAGCAACAGGATTTCAGCAACTGAGTAATACAACCCTATTTTAATATGAAATAAATTAAGAGGACTTTTTCCTGATATACCAGCTTTCTGTTTCATCCAATTCCTAGATCAGATAAGTTTTAAGGAGATATGTTTTCTTCATTCAGTATATAGCTCTTGAGGTCTTATAGATCAAGAGCACACAGCAATGCAGCTGCATGCAGAAGGATCTACAGTGGTGCCTCGCTTAGCGATTGCTTCATTTAACGATGTATTTGCTTTGCGATGGGTTTCTTTGAGGAAATTTCCCCATCGTTTAACGATGTTCTCTATGGGGGAATTTCACTTAGCAATGCCCATTTTTGCTAATTTAAAAGTGTCTTAAATGTTTGAAACCTGTTTTAAATGCTTGGATTTGGTAGTGCACCTTCTGATACATGTGCAAACTTAATTTGGTTTTGTTCTGAGTCTTCGTTAATTTTTGGTGATTTTTTGTTTTCCCCATTTAAATCCAATGGACAGACAGTCCAATTGTTTTCAATGAGGGGAAAAACAAAAAATCACCAAAAA